TTGAACATTTTTAAGTGACATATAAAAAAAAATAAAAATTAGATTTAATAATTTTAAATGAAAAATAAATAAAAATCACATATCAGACGCCACATCGACGATGAATGGATTTTTTTTGTTAAATATTTTCAGTCAAACTCGGTCAACACTAACAGAAAAATATTAAGAACATAAATGTCATATTGAATAGTTCGAGACACAAGTAACACTTTTTCGATAGTTCGGATTTTCTTGTGGTATTTGCATTTTTTTAATTATGTGCTATTTAAGAAATTCGAATCTAAGCCCTCCAAGTTTAGACCCAGCCATAATACCACTAGACCTCCAAGTAAAAAAAACCAGTAAGTTTAAATTCGGTGAAATAAAAAAAATTAAAGAGGAGAAATAAAAATATTAAAACTCTCAAAAGGAGAAATGAATGTGAAGCCATCAAAGTTGACGCGGATGAAGCTTTTTCTAAAAGCATTTATATATTTTTAAAGATTCTTAACGACAATAACTGAGTTCTTTTGATGTACTATTGCACTTTGAAGATATTTATCGACTGCAAGTGATGGAGGGCAAGAGAGGCGGAAGATCTCTCACGTTGACACCAAACGGGAGCATTCGGTACACGACTTCCAAGCCGCAAATCATTTGGATGGGTTCATGAATGATGAATCAGATGGCTTTTCCTCACGAATATGTCCTCCACGGTATGGAAGTTCACCCTATGCCCCTCACTAGCACTTGTAGTTTCAGCTTGTTCATGTCTTCCACCTCTATTCCAGTGACGACGCTGTTGGATGCCATTACTAGTTGTGGCACTTTCCAATCACAATCAGTCTCCTCCTAATGGCCACCTTGAAATCCTTAACGAGGATGAAACCACCTTCATAGTTCCAAATTAGACGTAGAAGAAAGTGGTCTAACGAACTCATCTGTTGGAAAAAGAGATAGGACGAGGGTATTTGTATGAAAGTCCGAGACCGGTGACTAGGATTGTGATAGAGTCATGAACGAAGTTCACTTTTCGTAAAAGAATATATCCACCCTCCGAAAGCCTAGGGTTACATGAAATTTCTTCGTAGGATAAAATTACCACCACTTTAGAATCTAGGCTTAAGAAACTAAAACACACTTAGAAGCTTTTGATGGATGAAAATTGAAGAATGGATATTTTTTGGTCTATGTTTTTCTGACCACCACCATTAGCCGAGTCCCCAAATATATAGAGGACCAACCGTTACTTTGAAGGGTCACAACACTTCAATTTGGTCGTTGCCTTCATGAAAAATTGCATTATTTGGACTTGGCCAACAATTGTGTCCTTCCAAGTAAATGGCGGCCCCTGATGGTGACGATCTCATGCATAAACAGCCAAATCACCATACATTGCATTGTTTGGATAAATTGCTTAGAGTGATGTATTGTTCCATTCCAAAATCAAACTTATCCAATTAAACACAAGCAATTGCCATCACGTGGAGATAAATGGGAAGTTGGTTTGTTTAATTCAAATGAAAAGTTGGGTAATTCAAATGGAATAGAAATTCACATAACTTGATCCATAAATTAACCAACTTTATCATTATAATTCCCAACATTCTTCCCCCATTTTAGTGCATTTGAATGCACTAAAATTATCATATTCAACATTCTTCCAATAAAACTTAAGCGTAAATGAAAATATCGTGACGATTGAATTTTCATCTCAGTTTATTACACTTGACAAATATTCGAATACAAGGGGTGTCGGTAACGATTGAACCCGTTGACTCATATGAATATCTGAAGATAATATACACTTAAGTTTTACAAACTTCCAAGTGACCTTGACACTATTATCCGCCATCTGTCCAATCCTTCTCGTAAGCGCACAGGAAACCAAAGTCCGGGTTTCTTGAAGCGGCTGCACTTCATGCTTACATAGGTTGAATCCTTTAGTTCTGTGCCTACATAATACGCTTTATCAAAGATTCAATTAAGAAGTTTTAAACTTCATCCTCTTCTCTCATGCAGGATAACAAGCACATACCTCGGGATGATGCATTATGTGCTTCAATTTTTTATAATGAACTTTCCTCATTGAATTCAGCCTCTAACGTTGTATTAGAGGGGAATTGGGTGTCCCCAGATCAGAAATTATATGGACTTTAAACCCATCCCTTTTACAGACTTGACTACCAAGTCTCTAGCTAACCCTTTCGTCAAATGATCAGCTAAATTCTCGCCTCAAACAAACTGGTGAGAACTTTTTGAGTCAAAATTTAATGTAGTAATTCAAAAAGTTCTCAAAAAAGCCAAACATTTTTTATTACGATTCCTTTTTTTAGTTGAGTCCGGACATACTGTAAAGACACAACTCCATGAGTGATCAATTCACGAATTTTACTATGTCTTATTCCCAAATGGCGAGACTTGCCATTATACATTTGACTATATGCCTTAGCCTAAGTAGAATTACTATCACAAAGGATAGAGATTGGTGAGATTGGTTTAGGCCATAAAGGAATGTCATAAACCAAGTCTCTCAACCACTCCGCCTCTCTTCCGGCAGAAGCCAAGGCCACAAATTGTGACTCCATAGTGGAACTTGTGATGCAAGTTTGTTTTTTAGAAGCCCAAGAGATGACACCTCCCCCAAGCAAAAAGACCCATCCTGATGTTGAAGTATGATCTTGAACATCAGAAATCCAACTAGCATCACTGTATCCTTCCAAGATAGATGGAAATCCACTATAAGTCAAAGCATAATGCTATGTGCCTTTGAGATATCCTAGTACACGCCTCACTGCATGCCAATGATGAGTACTAGGATTACTCGTATTCCAATTGTGAAACAGGTTGCCCAGTATTAGGAAAAAATTTCATACTTGGATCCATTGGGGTTTTTAATTCACGACAACTTTCACTATGAAATTTATCAAGTACCTTCTCAATGTAATGAGATTGAGTCAAGGCTACTTCCTTGCCGTTCCGCTTGATCTTGATACCCAGAATCACATCTGCCTCCCCCATGCCCTTCATGGAGAATTTAGATGACAAAAACTCCTTAGTAAGGTCCACTTGTCTTTGATTGGTAGCAAAGATGAGCATATCATCTACATCCAAACATATGATGACTCCATTACCAGAATCATCAAATTTTGTATATACACATTTGTCAGCTTGGTTTAACTTAAAACCACTAGACAAAACCACCTCATCAAACTTTTGATGCCACTATTTTTGAGTTTGTTTAAGCCCATACAATGATTTGATCAATTTGCACACTTTATGCTCTTGATCAGGCACAACAAATCCTTCGGGTTGTTTCATGTAAATCTCTTCATCCAAATATCCATTCAAGAACGTTATATTGAAATCCATTTGATGGATAATTAGATTGTGAATTGATGCAAGAGCAATCAACAATCTAATGGTGGAGATTCGAGAAACAGGCGCGTAGGTATCAAAGTAATCAATCCCATGTTTTTGTCTAAAACCTTGGATTACCAAATGCGTCTTAAACTTGTCGATGGTCCCATCGACTCTTCTTTTATTTTTGAAGATGCATTTACTACCCCAAAGGTTTGCATCCAGGTGGTAAATCTACCAATACCCATGTGTTGTTTGCCATGATGGAATCTTTTTCATCATTAATAGCTTCCTTCCAAAAGGCAGCGTCACGAGACTTCATAGCCTCATCAAAATTTTTAGGATCATCCTCAATATTATATGAATATAAATATTGAGATTGTACTTCCTCTCTAGACCCTTCCACAAGATACATGTGAAAGTCTGGTCCGAAAGATTTTGCAATCTTTCTTCTTTTACTTTGACGAATAATGGGTAAAGTCGATTGCGAAGTATCTTCCTCAATCCCCTCATTGAGATGAGGAACTATGTCTTTTGGTCGTTACATCGATGAAAATCGATTTTCATCAAATATGGCCATCTCTTGACTCAATTACAGAATGAATTGAGTAAGCGTCATTTTGTTCTATAACATAGAACCGGTATGCCTTAGAATTTTCAGCATATCCTACAAAGATGCAATCAATGCCTCTTTCTCCTAGCGTCTTCCTTTTAGGATTCGTTAGTCGCACGACTGCCCGACAACCCCAAACTCGAAGATACTCCAAGTTTGGCTTTCGTTTATACCATAGTTCATAGGGGGTAGTGACATTCCTTTTATTGGGAACCCTATTTAATAACAAGCCGTTAGCATAGCTTCCCCCCAAAACCCATTACTCAAACCAGAGTAAGAGAGCATGGAATTGACCATTTCCTTTAGAGAGCGATTTTTCCTCTCTGCTATCCCATTTTGTTGAGTAAAAGGTGTAGAGGTCTCATGTATGATCCCCATACTTTGGAAGTAAGCCGGATCATAGTATTCACCACCTCGATCCGTGCGCAAAGTTTTGATCTTTGCTTCTTGTTGTAACTCCACTTTAGTTTTGTATATACCAAAGCGACTAAGGGCTTCATCCTTAGTTTGCAACAAGTACACATAGCAAAACCTAGAATAATCATCAATAAAGATGATTACATATTTCTTCCCTCCTAAGGTAGGAGTGCCATGTAAATCACATAGATCACTATGTACAAGTCCAAGCACCTTGGACTCCCATTGCACGTTCTTAAATGACTCTATAGTGATTTTTTTCAACATACAAGTTTTACATTTATCATGTTGAGCATCAAAAGAAGGAAGAAGTCCTTTAGACATAGTCATCATTCGCTTATAATTCACATGCCCCAATCGTGCATGCCATAAAGATGAATCAATAAGGGTAGTCATGTAAGCGGAAACAATATTATTAATTTTATTAATAATATGCAACATAAACATACCATTATTATAATAACCAAATCCGACAAACACTCCGGATTTAGATAATACATATCTATCAGAGTCATAAACTTGACGATATCCAAGTTTATTTAGTACACTTCCAGAAACCAAATTTTCCTAATCTTAGGTACATGTAACACATCCCTAAGTACAAGAGTCTTTCCGGAAGTAAATTCCAACTCTACGGTGCCATGTCATTCGACTGGAGCAGTTGACTCATTGCCCATGTGGAGAACAGAATCGTGTTCCACAGGTTTGTAAGTTTTGAACCATTGTGATCCTTGCTTACATGTATGTTAGCTCCAGAGTCCACCCACCAAGCAACATCATCATCCTGTACAAAATATGCTTCATTAATTAGTGAAACATAATTCACACTCGAATTTGGATCAAAATCTAAATCAAAAGTGGGAATACGACATTGTGGGCCATGATCGTTAGATCCTTGCCCAACATGATGATTGCCATTATTCTTTGATTTTTTCATGGGACAATCACGCTTGAAATGCCCCGGTTTCCCGCATTTCCAACAAGGAGGTTTAGCCTTCTTGTTCTTGTCGGCCTTGGATAGATTGTTGCCCTTTTCACGAGAACGTTTCTTTCCTTTTTTCTGGGAAGAAGACTCTCCAATCTCCATCATATGAACCGATGAAGAATCTTTTGGCTTCACATCCTCTTGCACCCTAAGGTTCTCCTCTATGCACAAGTGGGTACCGAGTTGGGTTAAATCCAACTCTTCCTTCTTGTGCTTAAGCATGTGCTTGAAGTCCTTCCAAGAAGGTGGCAGTTTGTCGATTATACTCGACACAACGATCGCCTCATCCATGTTCAGATTATGTTGAGTAAACTGACCATAGATACGAAGCAATTCGTTATATTGCTCCATCACTGAGCGAGAATCGCTCATCTTGTGAGTGTTGAAATTACTTACAAGAAACTTCTTGGTCGATGCATCATCAGCCAAATACTTTGCCTCTAATGCATCTCAAAGCTCCGAGGCATTGGCATACATTTCGTAAATGTCAAATAGGGTGTTTGACAAACCATTGAGTATGTGTCCTACGCAAAGGTAGTTGTCGTTCTCCCACTTCTTCATTTTACGAAGTCGCTTCTTCAATTCCTCATTGTCGACCCCTTCCTCCTCCAAGTTACCTTCCGGACATGGGGTACTAATCACATACCCCACCTTGAGAGTAGTAAGAAGAAAACGCATCTTCTTCTGCCATCGACAGAACTGTTCCCCATCGAATTTCTCAATTTTTCCATGGAGAGAAGGTTCCTTATAAGGAGAAGTACGAGCCATCGTATAAGAGAAATATTCTTTACGATTGTTGGAAAAAGAGATAAGACGAGGGTATTTGTACGAAAGCCCGAGACCGGGTGACTAGGATTGTGATAGAGTCATGAACGAAGTTCACTTTCCGTAAAGAATATTTTCCACCCTCCGAAAGCCTAGGATTACAGGAAATTTCTTCGTAGGATAAAACTACCACCACTTTAGAATCTAGGCTTAAGAAACTAAAGCACACTTAGAAGCTTTTGATGGATGAAGAATGAATATTTTTTGGTCTATGTTTTTCTGACCACCACCACTAGCCGAGTCCCCAAATATATAGAGGACCAACCGTTGCTTTGAAGTGTCACAACACTTCAATTTGGTCGTTACCTTCATGAAACATTGCATTATTTGGACTTGACCAAAAATTGTGTCCTTCCAAGTAAATGGCGGCCCCTGATGGTGATGATCTCATGCATAAACAGCCAAATCACCATACATTGCATTTTTTGGATAAATTGCTTGGAGTGATGTGTTGTTCCATTCCAAAATCAAACTTATCCAATTAAACACAAGCAATTGCCATCACGTGGAGATAAATGGGAACTTGGTTTGTTTAATTGAAATGAAAAGTTGGGTAATTCAAATGGAATAGAAATTCACATAACTTGATCCATAAATTAACCAACTTTATCATTATAATTCCCAACATCATCAAGCTTCTCCAAGGGTGAACAATATTGAATCGATCCTACAGATAAAACGATCAAGTATATATATATGTAAACATGCGCCTTAAAATGAATTAGTCACATACAAATCAAGCTAAGAATAACACATATTTCCAGTCTGGGCCGCCACAAAAGCCATAGCAAAGTTTTAAGGTTAAATTAAGGAGCTCTCTTTCTTGGGTGTTCCTTGTGTGTTGTGCTTATTATTCTGAACAACTATTGTGAATGTGAAGGAGCTTTTCTACCACATCGCTTGAGCTCATTTGTGAAACAAGGGGAGCGGGTATAAAATGACAGCTCTGCTGCAGGCCCAATTCATGCCTTTCTCGCCCTTTTGGCTAAGATCAAGTGTAGTATATGTTCTTATCAGTTTAATATTTGATATGTGGGCCAATGACCCACACGATATTAAATTAATTTTTATAGGGGTAGAAGTCCACTACTGGAGCTTGCTTAAGGGACTTCTCATGTGTCGCCCATGCGTTGCACTACTGCAAGGGCCTGGCGCACCCCACCAATACTAGTCGAATAGTTAGATTGGGGCCTGGAATTTTCGGCTTGTATTATGCTTGGCCTATATTTGTGGAGTCTCAAGTCTCAACTTAGGTTACCAGGTCGTGTAGTGAGAGCGTGAAAGCGTCTATATTGTAAAATTCAATATTAAAAGCGCGAAAAGAGCGTTATTATTATATTATTTTTAATTTTTGAAAAATATTTGCTATGTAATTAGGAACAAAAATACTGCATAGCTTAATGATAGAAAAAAATGATGATGAAAAGTGGGCAGATATTTTATTAGGTTAGCTCCATTAATAGATAACTTTTTATTTTCAGAAAATTAATTATTTTTTAGTTTTCATTTTTACCTCGTCTCTCGCTAGGCGCCACTCATTCCGAAAAAGTTAGTCGCCTAACTGATTGTCTTTGTTAGGAGATACTGACACGGCCCAGATGTTGTCCACGCAAGCCCAGCCGAGATCCAACGGGTGCAAGAGATGGGCTCATTTAAGTGGAGTTTTGTGGGTTTTTTAGCCCAGCCGAGAAAAGAGATGGAGCTGATAGGTGGCGGCTTGGTAGGGTTTAGGTGCCAAGGGCGGGAGAAAGGGAAAGAAGGGGCCCAAGTGGGTGATTTATTTGGGGAAACAAAAATCAAAAAGTGGAAATTCAAAGAAAGTGGTTGGAATTTAATGCTCCCAACCACCCAAACCAGAAAATTGCCTCTCTCTCTTCAATTTTTCTCTGCTTTCCTTCTCTTCCAAAGGAAGAGAGCCGCCGCCCAACTGTCTTTTCCGGTGACCATCTTTCCTTTCCGGCGAGTCTTGTCCACGTTCTAGGATGCCGATCGACGACAATGGGGAGTTGGATGATCAAGGACCTTCTCCAATGAAGAAGGGTATCAATAGGAACATGGCTTCGAACATGCTCTTGCAGGAGTTGCAGAAGGTGAAGGCTACCAATAGGAGCTGGGAGCTCAAGAGGACGAGGAAATGGGCGATGGGGATTCCCATTTCCCAGCATGACCAGATCAGATTATTACGATGATCACCGCTATGATGACGTTTAGCAAGCTGTGGAGCTCGTCCACTGCTGTTTTTGTGTCGTTCTAGGACAGCACGAGGGCTTGCCTGTCCCTGAATGCATTCACCTGTTAAACAATGTTTAGTGGGCAATTATAAGGTCTAAGAAATTCTGAAAAGAGGCAGGGGTGATGGTTTGATATTCATATATTGTTCTCACCAGCCGGCAGCCAGTCAGTGAGCAATGATTTGCTTATCCCTCCATTATCCGAAGCTGGTCCAAAGTGATGCATGGCTCTCAATAGCCTCTTCTTTAGGCATGAAAAATATGCCTGGCCATTGAATATGAATGACAGAGCAACGGTTATCTAATGGCTGATTAGATAACTTACCGACTCATTAGTTAAGAATCTTGGGGGAAACTGAAGAGCTTACTGGGATCCTGGAGCAGCCACATTGGTGAAGATCTTGGCTACTTCCGTTGCTTGGCAGTTGGCACACACTCCTTATATGCAAGGATGGCTCATCACCTTGCACATCCGAGTCAAGCACGCGCTCATCCAGAGTAGACAATGAACCTGATCAACCAACCAGAGAGCAAGTTCCCACCCAGGAGTGTCAAAGCCATGACCTCCCATCTCCATAAAGGAAGGTCGCAAAGACAAAGAGTTTGTTTTCTCATGGAATGTATGCCGAGTGTGGAAGCTAAGGCTAAGAGAGATGAGATGAGGCAGCTGCCACATGAGCATTGCGAAAATACTGGTTTTAAGGTGTTTGTTGTGTGAGACATCTTCATGGTTATCCTCGTCTTCTTCTTATTTGTCGCAGTCTCCTTCTGGAGATCTGATGTCGTTGGAGTTTATCATACTGTAGTCTTCATCTTCGATTATTATGGACTTGGTTCTGATCATGAGTGACCTCCATGGGTTACGACGAAAGGATACATCATCGTGGGACGGTTGGCTGTCTTTATCTGCTATGCACCACATGGCTTCCTCTGCAATTTCGTTGAAGGATACCTTTTGCTTTGCTGGTTTGCTGGGGTTTGCAGCAGCAGCCCCATTGTTTCTGTGGATGGAGTGCAATTATGAATACCATACAACTAACTGCTCTTCCTGGCCATAGCTGTGATTCAAGAGGGCTTCTTTTTCTTCATGTTGCTGCTGCATTTTGGCATGAGAACATCAAGACTTCAAGGCTTTCTCAATGTCTCCATTGGAGGAAATGCTCTTGAGTGGATGCTTAATGGTTTTCTGAAAACTGATTCAGATCATATATTATAGAGTAACCCACATAAGTTCTAGAAGACACTGCTGCATGAATACCATCTAATGAAATGTACATGAAACGCAAATTAAAGACTGTCCATGATCGAAGAATCTAAGCTGTGGACTTGAAAACGTAGAGAGTTGACGACTGCAACATGAAGTGTAAAGCTACCGCAGGTAAAAAAGGGTACGAAGTTATAAGAGGGTTCCACATTAGCTGAATAGACCAAAGATGCTAGTGCTACTAGCAACTAGTGATTATCAACTTAATGCCTATTATAATATCGGGTGTTATTTCTAGTAATAGCATATGTTGTCTTTTGGACAATTCCCGACAGTGCACAGATAATCCAAGTTATTCTTCCTCCACCGAACAATTTTTACTTAATATGCACCTATATTGATTCAGTGATATGATCTTTTCAAGTCAAGGAAAATACAACAGACTCTCAAAGTTCCAGTTCTGGGGCACAAATTAATCAAATACTGGAGTTACCTTTTTCCGGTGTAGAATACATCTGTTACAGCTTCCAGCCTCATCATCATGCCTCGAGAAGTGTTCTTGAAGGGGACCTGAGTCTTGGGTGCACGCAAAAGTGTTACAAAAACAAAAAATGAACAATTAAGTTTCTGCTCTTGCCAACTTCGAGCTGTATATTTCCTCGGAATACATGGAGTTAGCAAGTTTACAATTATTTCCAGCGCGAGATCGTGCATACCACTCTCATAAGCTGAACAACAGTTAAACATTAGTACAAGTTGTTGAAAGAGAAAACTGGTTACTAACTTAGAACAAACAAAAATGTAAACACATAAATCAATTGTTTCTCAAGGGTGAGATTTTACTACAACAAACGTTATGTACAAAGTTTTCTCACTTCTTGCAACCTCAAACTCCCGTTCTCAGCCCGTTGCAGCTACTACTTTCCTAGATACCTTGTGTTTCACCCTGTCTTCTCCTTCCTCCGTGACCTGTTGGAGGAATTATCATCGAATGATGATGAACTTTTTCAGAATATGCAGAGTGGAAATGTGGAAATTTCAGGTATCAGTGTATGAATTTTAAGTTTACCATCCCCTGTAAGTTCTGTAGAAGTTCCAAAATTTCAGAGAATTCAGGCCTCAAACATGGGTCTCTGTCCCAGCATCTGTCAAGAAGTTCCACCAATTTGGGATGGGTGTTCTTTGGGATGGATGGTCTCAGCCCCTATATAATAATGTTAGACCAGAAAAGCATGCTTATCGTGTGGCTTGGGCTAATTCATAGTCTTATTTTTCTAGTGGTTACATGTAAAATGTAATCATACAAAGAGGGAAAGACTGACAAATGCTTACAGTTTCAGGTGGAAGAAGAAAACCAGAGATTACCTGCTGTACTACGCCAACTGCAGCTTGCAATGGGGTCAAGTTGTCATAAGGGACCTGACAATAAGTTACAGAGAAAAATGATAAGCTGTACTAAGAAAGTAGATTGGAAAGAATGGCATAAGGAATATGGAACATTGAAGATAAAGGCAGGGGTTACTAGCATTACCTTTCCTGTGAGCAGTTCCCACAGCATAACGCCGAAGCTGAAAACATCAGCTTTGTGATTGTATGGTTTGTGTTCAATAACCTTTTAGAGTGAGAAAAGCAAAATAAAAATCAGTAAAGATAGTGCACGGCAGAAGAGTAGGTTCAGTCGAGTCAAGGGAAAGGGAGAGGAAGCTTCCACCAGTTTGGAAACTAGAGGTGAAAGGTATCACATACCTCCGGAGCCATCCAACGGTATGTTCCAGTTTCTGCAGTCATTACTCCTGAACGATCTTGCACTCTGGCAACACCAAAATCAGCAACCTTGACAACCTGAAGACCAAGTTTTCTGTAATTTTAATGCAGGGCAACGAGATAAGAGTTCTATTGAGGTTCCAGGATATATCTCATTCAAATAATTAATAGAGTTCCCCTTTCAGCCTGCAGGGGCTTTTTTTTTTTTAAAAGTTTGTGAAGCATCTTCATTTTTCCATTGCTTGAGAGGAGCTCAAGTATGCAATGACATGATTCAAGAAGAAAGGGCACTGCGACAGGAAAGTAAATATTATAAAGAAAAGACGGCAAATTGCTCACTCCGTTTTCATCCACTAGAAGATTGGCAGCTTTCAGGTCTCTGTGGATTATGTTATTTCTGTGCAAGTAGTTCATTCCTCTGGATACATCAACTGCCACTCTGAGTAAGGACTGAAGATTAAAACATTCCTTCCTTTTATGCAGATGGTCGTACATGCTTCCACCAGACATAAATTCTGAGTGCAATAAAATATACAGAAGGGAGAAGAAGATGAAGTGAAAATAAATAGAAATGTCACCCTATTTGTCCACAACCTAACATATAGATCATCAACATATAATCAGCTGATTTTAAGAGATATATTTCAGTTTTTGTTTACCTGTCACAATACATAGGTTTGGCCTCCTGGTACATGCACCGATGAACTGAACAACATTCTTGTGCCGGACTTTCCTGCAGATCAAATGGAATAAGTGAAGTTATCATCTGAACCTCAATGCAGCAAACACATGTCGAGGATGGTATGACAAGGGACCATCATGAAGCTAATTAATTTACGTTTAACAAAAATGGCGATTTTAGATTAAGTGCACAGCTTCATCCAGTCTATTTCCTTAAAATTTCATTTGATATCATATTTCAGCAAACGGATAAAATTACAACAAGGAAGAAGAGAACAGGAATAGCAAGGTTATCAAGACGACTAGATGATACTGTGGGGAATTTTCAGGGAAAAGAATTTTACAGTTTACAAACCTCATAATAAAGACTTCTTGAGCGAATTCCTTTTGAAGTTTTTTGCATAGGTGCTCTGCCCTGAAATGCTTGATAGCCACATCTTGACTACAGAAGGTGCCTTTATACCTGCTTCGATAGAGTCATATTAACAATCAACACTAATAATAGGATCCACTATCCAGTGAACGATGTTGAAGTCATCACAACTCACGTGTCTCCATAGGGTCCAGATGCAACTTTGTACTCATACTTCAGTAATCTTGCATCAATTTCCCAAACATCAATTGGCACAGTTGGGATGCTCATTTCAGAAGATCTGGGATTCGTTCCTGTTTGGTCTTGCTTCACAACAGGAAAAATTAAATGAGAACTCATGCCGTATTCTTCTGCATTACCCTTACAGCTAAATATAAAAAAGCTGATTAAGTTCTTGATGAAGTTTCTAATATAGTTCGGTACATTTGCCTTTTTGGTAAGCTTGATTAATCAGAAGAGCTGAATACTAAAATATTGTGGCTACGGTTTAGTAAGGCAAGAAGAAGAAATCAACTAACTTCCCTACTCTGATCTCTAATTAATGGAGCATCAAGCTGAAGTGGATACCTCAATCTTCGGAATTTCATTTTCCAGCACGACTCTTAGTTTATATGTCTCCTGTGAATAAAAAAAACAGGAGTCGGTGCTGATAAGTATGAAATGATGGTTCAGGTGGTAGAAACAGCACGACACACATCAAAAGAATTCCAATACCGCACACACAGACTCTCAAGATGATATGACGGAGTAATAGAATACTGTCCAGTTCAAATGATCAAATTTTTACTTAACCATGTTCAATATGTCCCTGCGCTCTAAAATGAGTAATCTAAGCCAAAAGCAAATGAAAGTAAATCAAGTTAATCAAGTACTGCATAGAGAAGGGTAGAGGTATACCTCAGAGCTCCAATTGTCAACAACAAACACATCTAATGAGTACCCATCTGTGGTGGAAAAAGCATGTGCTTCTTGTATATTTAGGTCAAGCTCAGAGAGTAAGGAAGTTAACTGAAATAAATGGCATGATGGAAGACGAAACAATCAACAGATGAAAGAGAACAGAGATAAAGAATGCTAAAAAGCTGTAGCTAAGAAATCCAGATACCTGACTCAGAAGCTTTGGCTTATCATTCGTGGAAATTGTGATTTCATGCATAAGCCTATAGCAAAGAAAGAATAATGTTTCAGTTAAGAAGTGGGTGCTTAGGAATGACATGGAAATCTTTGAGTATATGGCAAATGTATGATGAAGGATAAGCATACTACAAGACAAAAGAAGTTACAGGTAACTTGGACCCAAGGAATAAAAAAAGAAAGTAATAGCAATAACTCTTTTGAAGCTGCAGCATAGTAAACAACTATCAGAAGAATTGAATCTTCAGAAATATAACCAACTGCCATTCATGATGCATTAAACCAAGGACAGCTACAAGTTCACAAGCAAGAGAAGGCTTCCTAGAATTGTTACCGAGAGTAAATTACACTGCCGGTATCCTTATCTTGAGCTTCATATGCAAGTTCTAGGTCTGGCAATGAACCAAAGGCAGGTGGTGGATGGAGGCTGAGACAATACAAAGAGGCAAATGAGTCGGCAAAATTACCCATTAGAGCAAATCAAATAGCTAGCAGAATATGAATATCCCATGCCTCTGCTTCAAGGGTTGATCAGAAGATTGAGGTTGCTTTTTCTTGGGAAAGTCAGCATGAGCAGAGTCACCAGAGTTTCCATGGGATGCAGAATAAACCTGCAAAGAGAAAAAAGCATGAAGAAAACCCCTCATGAATCAGCCAAGACGGCCGTGTCAAAGCAAACTAACATAGCTTCATTAGATCAACACAGTGGAGCATAGTGTTTCATCAGTGAGAAGCAATCGCATTTAGTATTTCATTCAGCTATTCAGTATAACCATTAACAAGATTGGCAACCCCAATCGCCAAATTCACATGAGAACTACGAAAGTTCATCCTAAAGGCTCCAATATTAGAAGCTGAAACTCGAAGGACTTCAGGACCGCATGAGTTAACACAGCAAGATCAGCAAAACAGTGCTTGTGATTGTCAATTGGAAGATCAGAAGTCAACTGTTCAGTGAACAGGCAAATAAACGGCAAGTGGAAAAAGCAAGCCCGTTTGGAAGGGGGGAAAGAACGAAAAAGGGGAAGGAAAGCGTCTCGAAATCTGCTGGCCCCTTCTTACCCAGACTTCTTTTCTTCCCCTTTATTTCTATGTGCTTTTCAACTGTGTGTATAATCAAACTGTTAAGAAAATCGCATCCACAGAGCCTTACGGTATTTTCTGGAACACAAACAAACCTCCCAATCTACCTACCCTACCAATACTTCAGCCATAAATTAATGAAAGCACACTGTAGGAATCTAGAGTAATATGCTGATAAGCCAACGGCAAAAACGTTTCAAGCAAAAAGGTCAAAAAGTAAGAGACCAGGGCATCTAATGGAATCGACAGCTGAATCTTTTACCTGTACCAGCCGGACTTCAATTGCCGGCCTAGTAGCCGGATCATGAGCCATCTGCAGTAATCTCTTGTGCATAAGCACGTCCTGCGCCCTCTCCGCGTTCACTTCCAGCGCGTATCTGCGGAATCGAGAAAAAAATTTTAGAAATCACTGTAACCAGAAAAAAACAACGGACTAGTGAAGCAATAAACGATCGGAATTGGAAGATTCCTCGAGAAGCAACCATATAATCGGCGGAGGGAACTAATAAGCAGTTACCGGCGAAACCTAGAGGAGAAGCTCCGACATGCAAAATGCAATTGGCAGCGATGAACAAACCAGTTCAAAATAACAAGTACGAAAAGAGTGAAGCCAGAATCCGTACGGTCTACGGTATCCCTGCTGTTGTGAGCTAGCCAATTTTGGTTGATCGATGAATATGGGTACGGTTTGCAAACTGTCAGGGAGGAGGAGGAAAACGGAACGGAATCAAGAATCAAGCGGCGGAACGGAACATTACCTAGTGGGAAGACGGAGGAAATGATTCCAGAGCTCGTCTTCGAAGCCTGGAAGGCCGGATTCCTCGTCATTGGAGTTCGTAAGCCGGCGGAGGACTTCATTGTAGACCGCAACTTTCTGCCTCTGGTTCCTGCTCACCGCCGGCACGAAATCAACAGCTCTGCTGCTGCAGCTCTCCGTGTCTCCCATAGCAAACACATACAGAATCACAGAATCCAAACACTCCGCCGAAGAAGCAAAAACAGAGGAGAGAAAACAACGATTTTGAAGAGTCAAATTGTATGCAGCGATCAGCAACGAACGCCGGCCGGCGATAGACGCCGTTCGCGTGATTCAGTTAGTTGCTTGAGGCGCTGAAAATTGCAGCGAGCTGGAAGAAAGGGAAATTTGGTCATGAGAGAAAGGAAGGAAGAAAAGCAGCCATGGCTGGGCTTGGCTAGCTTCTGTTTCCTCTTGTTCCTCTCTCTCTCTCTTTTTCTCGTGAACACAGGAAGGAAGGAGAACGTTAAAAGACAATGGCGTATTACGCACCCCAGTCCGGAAGCGCGTATCTACGTGGATTCTAACAATGCTTTTCCGAATTTTTTCTTAAACTGTTTGCTTTTGTTACGTCATCGCTTCAACTTTACCGCCCGATTTTCTTTTTTTCTTGCTTCCTATTTGTCAAGACCCGCGAAATTTTTAATATTATTATTCCGAATTTCAGTTTTTGTTTATGTTAATGGCGATTGTCTAATGCAGAGGAGAGCTTATCCAACCAATCCAATATCCATAGATAAAATCCATTCAAATTTCAAGTTGAGTTGATGGAATCACACGACATCATCTCCTCGCTGATGGGAATCACTGGCTGTCTCATTTTCCCACTCAACAACTCCTTTTACTCAATTTTCTGTTGTTCAATTCGCAATTTGGTTACTACTTTGTAATCAAAACTTTTAATCAAGTTTCAAGTTTAGAATACCAGTCTTTATCGGTCCACTTGAACACTCATAGCAATTAGTTTTCATTTAAGATCTTTATGGGCCTCTAGGTTACTTGCTTTCTACAAGATAAAACAAGCAAAAATCTCAGTTGAGTTATAAATCTTTAATTCTAACATAGATCACACTGCAAGAGCAGGGGCGGAGCCAGAATTTGACCGTCGGGGGCCGAAGTTTAGAAAGTGTAATATGTAGAAGAAAATATATCATAAAATATAATTAATATTTGTATTTATTTATAATTTATTTGTAATATTTGAGATAAAGAAAATGCCAAAACTATTATTAGAAATATAAATTTAAAATTTGAAGAACATAATTAAGCTACTTCAAAATTACATGACTTGTAAAACAAATTATGAAAGTTAAATATGCTTCATGGTAAAACTAAATTAACAAGGTTAAAAAATTAATATGGTCTTTGATCACGCTCAATTAAGAAGGTTAAAGACAATTAAATATGATTTTTTATCACAGTCAGTTAAGAAGGTTAAAAAATCAATAACAATTTGCTGCCAACAGGTTTGGAACTAAGACCATGAATGACAACAATCAACTTCTGCTCCGCTGGACTACACACAAATCTTATGCTACATTATTGCACACAATACTAATCTTCATTTTATACGTAATTCTTTAAACCTCGATAGAATTTTGTACGTGATTTCAAAAATCTCGCCCCCCCCCCCCTGGAAGCACCACCTAGCTCCGCCCTTGTGCAAGAGAGTGATACAAGATGCATAATTAACCTTCTTAAAACAAATTAAGTTATTGGGAATAAGTGAGTTGTTCGTGAACATGATATCAGAGCTTTCTGTTACTGAGAGGTCTTCTATTCGAATTTTGACAACCCTCTTTCATAAGCACACGATTTTCAGACCTATGCAAACTTCAAACCCACATGAATTGACTTTCGTTTGAGATGGAATGTTAGTAAATGCGATATGATCCATAATAAGCATCTCCCAACAACTCAATTTATTGTAATCTATTAGTTTATGACATGGTATCAGAGCTGTTTTGATCAAGTGGTTATGTGCTCGAATCTCCATGATCTCCTATATTAACAGTTGATTAAAAGCACAAGCTATGTTAGGCATGTGCAAACTAACGTAATAAATAACTTGTGATAAAAAACACATACAAGAAACCCGTTTTTCTCGGAAAAGAAGGAGAGAGAATTGAGCATGCCATAGAGGCTCCAGGTGCATCTAGTGGTGGGACCTAGGTCCTAGGTCATTGGCACCACCTCGACTCTGGCTGACGACAATAGAAAAAATGATGTTGAGATGTAACGGGATAGTTCATGACTAAATATTTTCTTATTATCAAGAAGCATATTGTTTCGGGTCTATTTGTACACTTTTTACCCCCTTTATCCTTAGATGTTTGAAATACTTTTACTCCGTGAGGTTCGGTTTTAGGCTAGATTGTGGTTGTTTTTAGTATGTTTCAGATCCTAGTAGGTGAAATCAATCCATGGAACGAAATTTTGACGAAAAGGGACGAAAATCGGTAAAAAGGGAGAAACAGAAGCAGATCACGGTGGATGCCAGAAGTTTATGGTCATCCAGACCGTGAAGAGGAGGCATAGACCGTGAAGGTCGAGGAGTCCATAAGATTTTGTCCATCTCCCGGGCATAAACCAGTTCGCGGTCACTCGACCGTGAAGACCAACTCCAGACCGTGAACTCCCTTAATGAAACAGGGCATTTTTGCTCGACATCACGGTCCAGGCCAGATGTTCACGACCGTGAACTGGGACCGTGAAACTCCGTTGATATGGGTATATAAAGGGGGCTGATCTGAAGGAGAAAAGAGGAGGAACCTAGTGAGAGAGACTTCGACTTCTTCTTCTTCTTTAGATTTCTAGAGTGAGAAAGTGACGACCAAGAGGAGAAGGGAAGTTAGGGTTTAATCCAAGAGCTAGGTTTTGGGAATTTTTCCTCCAAAGGTTGATCTCCACACCACAAGGAAGAAGGCAAACATCTCTAAGATGTTTTTGTCTCTTCTCCCTTCGTATTCCCTCTATTTAGCATGAAGTAGGCCTTTATTTCACTTGGGTGTTTTTAAACCCTAGCTACATGATAGACCATTGATTACACATATTTTTACCCCTATTATTGAGCCGTTCGAGATGTTGATTCTCGTGTTTTAGGCCGATTTCACGCTAGGTTGTGCTTGTTTGTGATATTTCAGGTCCTAGTACGTGAATGAAGGTTTGGGAACGAGTTCGGGGTCGATTGGACGAAGTTTGGGCGTTTGGCGAGAAGCTGAGAAGCCACACGGGCATGCCTAAAAGCCACACGGCTATGTAGGGGACCCCTTGTGGCCGTGTGGAAATTCCAGGGACCTCACACGGGCACCCTGGAAAGCCACATGGCCGTGTGTGTCGTGGCCGTGTGGGATGGCTTAAGTCACTTAATCGAAACTCTGCGTTTTGCACACTCACACGGCAGCCTGGGAAAGCCACATGGCCGTGTGGCCTGCCCGTGTGAGTCGAGAATTCTGGTTTTAACCCAATTTCGAGCCACAAGTGAGAGGATCAACTTTTCAGAGCAAAAACAGAGCCCTAGAGAGAGAAAGTGCGAAGAACTCACCCTAGAAGCGATCTTGGAGCTGGGTTTCATCAAATCGAGCTTGGAGATCATCATAGGAGTGAAAATCATCATCCCAGAGCAGATTCTTCCCATTGTTATGAGTATGACTGCTTTGTATTCTGTTTTTCTCTCTCTCTATGGAGTAGACCCTTCTCTCACTTGGGTATGAAGAACCCTAGTTCCATGTGTTAGGGATCATGATTGTAATGACTTGGGATTGCTATACTGTTTGGTTTTAATCGAATGATGCATGTTTCATTGAATTGATTGAAGTCTGATCAGCTTTCTTGATTTCTGCTGCAACCTGAGATAGATAGAATCTGATTAGGTTGTGAGAGCTTCTTCATTCGGTAGTAGTAGATTGGCTATACGAGAGTTAGTCAGTCTACTTCTTTGTACTAGAATCCAATTCCAGTAGTGGAGTTCTGTGCTTATTGCTTCAGCTTTCTATCCCGGTGAAGACTAGTCGTCTGTCGGGTAGTTAGACTGAGAGGGCTTGGTCAGCTTAAGAGATTCCAAGCTACTTTCGGATCTTCTACAGTTTAATCAACAGTAAATCAACCCAGGGTAATTACAATTGAGACCTAACTAAGGAGCTAGGGGGACTCATTCCCGAGTGACTCTTCGTTTGCTTCAGAAAATCGAACCAATTCCTGCTTTCTTACTGCTTTTAGTTAAGACAACAATCAATCGACTTAGTTGGCTAGATAATAGATAATCACGGAGTAGGCAGTAGATATAGACCCCGGGTTGATAATAAGAACTTGCCACTATTCTGCATTTCCGGACTGCGATTACACTTGGTCGCAGTTTGGTGTTGTGTCATAGCGTGTCAAGTTTTTGGCGCCGTTGCCGGGGACCCTCTAGGTTATTGGAGAAACGTGAAAGTTTGTTACTCTAGCTTTTTCTTTATTGCATTTTATCTCTTCCACCTGTGTGCCTTCACGGGTTGCTTCTGCTGATTGTGTGCAGGTAGTGCATGTCCCGTAGCCAGTCGGGAGATCTACTACCATTAGACCAGGAGCTTGAACGAATCTGCAGGAACTTCAAGCGTGCTCCAAAGGCGCGACTGGCTGCGGAGGAGGCACTAGCACAGCTGCAAATCACCGACGAAGAAGAGATGGGTGATCCACAGGACCATGATGTGGTCCTTCTCGAGGAGCAGACCATGGGATACTACTGGAGCGCCAGGGCCGCGGACATGAGGTCGCCCATTCAACACCCTCATGTGCCAACAAATAATTTTAAGGTGAGCACCTCCGTCATCACCATGCTGCCCGGTTCGGTGGTGTTCGGTGGCAAAGAGGGGGAGTGTCCCCGATCACATCTGAGGCGATTCCACGAGCTCATCGATGGAATCAAGATAAATGGGGTCCCAGCCGATGCCATCCAGCTGAGGTACTTCCCATTTACCCTGGAGGGGCAGGCCAAGGAGTGGCTAGACACTCGACCTCCAGGCTCTATCACCACGTTCGCCAATCTGGCGGAAAAGTTCCTCACTCGCTACCACCCCCCGTCCAAGACGGCGGATCTGCAGAAGCAGATTACCCATTTTTCTCAGGATGAAGACGAGACCATCCGAGATGCCTGGGAGAGATACACCAGTCTCTTTCTCAAGTGTCCCAACCATGGTTTTACTAATGCCTTCAAGGTGGGAACCTTCTACCATGCCCTTTTCCCGGAGGACAAGCAGCTGATTGATTCGGTCTATGGTGGGAATATGCTCACCAAAACACCGCCCCAGCTGAATCAACTTTTTGAGGAGATGGCAGAGCAGGGCTATAACTGGGGAAATGCAAGGAGATCGAGACGAGCACCAGGCGGTGTCGGTGGTGTCGAAGCTGGTGTCAGCCATCGATCGCTCTGGGATGATTCTAGGGACCAGACAGCAGCAGGCGATGCTCTGCTAGTGGTGCGAGAGCACCCATCACATGGTGG